TTTTAAACATCCTGGCATTCATGGACCCTCAGAAAAAAAAATTCCCATTGTTCCCTTTTGTTTAATCGTTCACAATCATTTCACTTTCACGCGAGCGAGTGAGCGGTCGCAGCCTGTCATTTGTGGTTTCCAACAAAGACGAGGCAACAGATGGCACTCGCAGCGAGAGGGGGCGCTGTTGCTCTGGCGCCAGACCTCCTGCAAGGCGGGACAAAGGCCCCGAGGCACTTACAGTTCTCGTGATAGACTGAAGATCATGTTTTTTTTTTTTTTTTCGTTATCGTGGACCTAGATAGTTCCTTCAAATATCTGCTGAACATCCCTTTGTAAGGACGAGGTAGTCAGGGATGACTCCAAACGCGGCACCAACCAAAACAACAAGACTGAAAAACAGCTTCTACCATCCACACGCCATCAGACCCCTGAACAAATGACATCACAATCTGTCAAGTACGCTGTGGAATATTTTTGTCATCCCGCTGACTTGAATGTTGTGCTATTGGTGTTATGGTCATATGTTCCATTACAAACCGCTAGCGGTCAAAAATTTGGAAATATCCTCTCAAATTCACTATTTTCTTGATATTTTCTCACTCTGCTTTTCTGATGTGGAAGAAGCTTTATAACCTGGAATGACTTTCGGTTGTGCTCTATGAAGGATTTCTTTGCTTCTTCGTGTGTTGGAGATCATTTGAATTGGAAGGCGTTTCCACATTTTGGACTGCTACTGCACATCACGGCGCTAATGTTTCCGCTTGGTGGCAGAGCGTAATATAAATAATCGCTCGGGTAAATTCAAATAATCTCTTTGACTTCCCCAACTGTTTATCAGCGTGCTGCGTGTTGCGCGTTTGGTTTATCATTGGCAAGTGTTAAACCAGCAGCTGATGACATGCCATGCATTAAATCTCCTTCCTGTCCAATCGACTTCCTGTTTCAAGATCGTCACTGCCCACTTCTCTATTGCAGTCAAACTCGACAATGGCGAATACTCAAGTTGGAATACTGGACCGGAATTGCGCTTTTGCGCACGCTGCTACCTCACAACCCATAAACATGCAGTACCCAAAACTTCTTGTTGACAATTGCTTTAGGGCCGCAACTGAATAATTACACTTCCTGTAGCCCACGTTGAGCAGCGACAGTGCCGTGAAGTTACTAACCATATATAGATGCAACGTCATTCAAGTTACAGGGGAGAAAAAAAACAGAGTGACTTCTTGTATGGAGATGCCCTGGCATGTGGGCAAGGAGAGCCACAGTTGTTGGCGAATTTGTTGATGGGAAGAAACACAGAGGCAAAATGAAGACACACGCATGAAGCTGCTTTAGGCCACAACTCACATCCAAACACTTGCATGCAGACCAACCAGCCAATGTGACATCACTCACCGGGCCACGTCCCTTAAAGGCACACATCAAACACACATGCTACAGTATGTACAGACTTTAAAGGTGATAAAACGAGTTTGTTTAAAATGCCTGCCTGCTGTCAAAGTACCGGGTACTCGTAAACGTTGCGGATACAAACTACTGATACGCCTTGCCAGTAGGTATCGCTTTCTACTTGAATGAATATTTGTATTGGTATCAGTTTGATGAAAAATTGTGGTCTCAATCATGGAAGAAATGGATTTCAAATCCAAATTCGTGAGGAATTGATGCACCCCCAAAACAAACTGTAATGTGTAAAAATGTCCCAAACCGGTGGTAAGGCACTTATTTTTTCGAAATGAAGCTCCTCAAAATGCCCTGAATGGCACAAACTGGAGCCAAATTAAACATTTAATACTTTGATCATAGTTCTTTTTTTTTTTTTTTTTTGTCATTTTGTTTTGCTAATTCATTTTCTTTCAATTAGCTTTAGAGTGTTTTTCATCTTTTTTTAATTCGTTTTATTAATAGCTATAGTTGTTTTTTTAAATATATAACAAATGCAATACGTTTGAAATCTGCCTCAATAGAAGACAAAAATGAAGGACATTTTCACCACAATTAAACTTACATAAACATAAAATGTAATTTCAGTTATTGTTTTAAAAAATGGCATTTTTAATTTATTTGCTTAAAGAAATAACCTTGTCATGTCAAAGATTCAACTCCTATAATGAGGTACTGGTGTATTTTCGTTAAAACTTCAGTCGTGGTGATGCCGCACACGCGCCCGTGCGCAAGCTCCCATCTGCATCGCGCCGCCAGATGCTTAATTAAGATGGACGCCGCGGAAAACTATCTGTTGATCACATGACCAGCTTGCGCTCACACGCAAACCCACACGCACACGCGTACACACAAACACACGGACGTATGCGCGCGAACCGCCACGCGAACACACGCGCGTAGATTGGCACACGGTAACGCAGCGGGGATGAATGAACAAGGGCGGATCACGTGACCACAGTGCTGCCGTTTCCATGGTGATTTTGAAGGGGATGGGGGAGGTATGGCTGGCCGAGAACATGGCTGCCAACGCAACCTGCTGCTTGAACGTCAGCAGGAAAACTGCTTAAAAAAAAAAAGAAAAAAAAACGTCGCCGTATATATCAACCTGGCGGCAAAACCAATATTCCACCAGATGGTCCCGAATGAATCTTTTTATTGCTTTTGACAATTTTAGCGAGAAGCGAAGGATGGGTAGAGAAAAAAAAAATCAGCGAAGATGCAAATGCTGAACAGCAAACACTTGGGGGGGATGCAGCGTACAGCGACGATAAATGATTAATATTATTCGATTCATTCAACATTCAAATGGCATTAACGAATATTGTAATGCTCATTTTCATCTCATTTGATCCATAATGGTAAAGATATTCATTCATCTGATTGCTACGACTGTTTGAATTACTGCTAGTTGTTAACGTCATGATGTATAGAAGAAATTATCAGGTGATCTTTTTCAAACTCGTCATGCCCCGATGTCTTGAGCGTGAGGTGTGATAGGTTTCACGATTTGCAAGATGTTTCCTAAAGATACTGAGACATTTTTGGGATGAGCAGAATTTTCCCACCATTGCTTAAAACGCTTTTTCCATGAAAGCGAGCACAAAACCTGAGCTCCTTTTTTGGGGGCGGGGGTGGGGGAGGGTTCCTTTGCAAATGTCACACATGCAGTCGTTCGTGTTAACGCTGCTGGAGAGACCCGCATGATGATGTTGCAGTTGCACCAGAGGGACCTGTGAGCTCAAGTGCCAGGATGTGGAGGCCATTTCACATTTGCAATAAAACACGATGATCTTTGCGAGCAATGTGCGACTTTGTCAAAGTGTCGCAACAGGTGCATATCTTGACCATTATGGTCGATGTAGAAAGACACAAGTGTCAGGGCTTTCTTGACTACTTGCAAGCGTTGTAGATGCATTTCAGAGTCAAAGTCACATGGTTGCATATGAAGCATGCCTGTCTTTAGCGTTAGCCACCAAGTGGATATCAGTTAATCGGTGTCAACTGTTTATGATTTTTTTTTTTTTTTTTTTTAATCCCATTACAACTTTGACCAAATCTTGTTGTTCAGAACACATTTGCGTTGGACTGGACTCGGAATTTAGCTCTTTACGGCCACATTTGAAATCAACAATAACTATTTTCAAGCAAAAGCAACATTTGGATTTTCTTAGTGTCTTTCAAAAATAAATGTTTTGAAAACATCTGTTTTCCCTTTGGAAAACGATGGTCAACATCATTGCCGATTGTTTGATACGTTCTAGATCAAAGCGCGAAAATGATTTATTATCAGTTTGTTTCTGCATTTCATGTACTGTCAGTGTGAAATAATGTCCTGTTTTTTTTTTTTTTTAAATAAAGGGGCGGAAATGTAAAAACTATTTTTTTTTAATTCGATTAATCGGAAAACAATGAAATAATCATCTGTTGTAGCCTTACTCCAATGCGATTTGGTGTTGGCTGTACGTTGTGAGGAATTCTGGCGCCATCTCGCGATGCGGGGTCTCAAATTTCTGCTCCCTTTTTCAAGCCCCCCCCACCCCAAAAAAAAAAAAAATCATCAACCAAGCGACTCTTACCTCAAGGCACCATTCTAAAAACCTGCAAAATGATTGACCGACTATGATGATTTTGAATTCATAGCAAACTGGCGTGAGGCCAAAGGAAATGTTGATTGACTGACCAATCAGAATTTTGCACACAACAAACCCCTGCACA